AAAATAAAAAAGCAAACATTACAACTGGCACCACAGAAATATAAAGGATCATTAGAGACTATTATGAACAACTATATGCTAACAAAATGAAAAACCTACAAGAAATGGGTAAATTCTTGGACACGTACAACCTACCAAGATTGAACCAAGAAGAAATAAAAAAACCTAAACAGACAATAACAAGTGATAATATTAAATCAGCAATAAAAACTCTCCCATTATTAAAAAGCCTAGTATTGGAAGGCTTTATTGTTAAATTCTACCAAACTTTTAAAGAATAACTGACACCAATTTTCATACTACTCAAAAAAAAAAAAAATTAAAGAGAAAGAAATTCTTCCTAATTCATTCAGTAACACCAGAATTACCCTGATAGCAAAACCAGGTAAGGACAAAACAAAAAAAGAGAACTACAGACCAATATCCCTGATGGAGATAGATGCAAAAATCCTCAATAAAATACTAGCAAACTGAAACCAACAACACATCAGAAAGCAAAACACAATGACCAAGTAAGATTTATCCCAGGGATGCAACATATATAAATTAATGAATGTGAAAGGTCACATCAACAGAATGAAGGACAAAACATATATGATCATCTCAATAGTTGTAGAAAAAGAATTTAATAAATTCAGTATCCTTTTATTTCAACAAATTAGTAATAGATAAAACATATTTAACATAATAAAAGCCATATATAACAAGCTCTCTACACAGGGTGACAGAGTGAAATTTTTGTCTCAAAAATAATTATTTTTTTAAATTTTGGTTTTGTCCATACATCGATACAACACTGCCTTGAAAATTGTAGCTTTGGGTTGAATATTGTTGTCTGGAAATATAAATCCTTCAACTATTAATTATCTTTCAAGATTGTCTTGGCCATTCTACCTCCTTTGCATCATCATGCAAACATTAAAAAAAAAAGAAGTTAGTAAGATTTTGATAAATATTGCTTGGAATTTTAGAGAAGATTTACATCTTAAAATATTAAGCCTTATAATCCATGAACATCATGTATCACTTCACTTACTTAAATTTGATAAATTTAAAAAAATGTTTTGAGTGATCATGGGAATGATTTGCCACATTTTTTATTGCATTCATTTTTAGATATTTGATGTTTTATGCCATTTTTAATGTTTGTTACAAGTCTATAGAAATACAACTGATTTTTATTCAACAAAATTGCCAAATTCACTTTTTAATGTGTTCTTAGTGAATTCTATTGGAATTCTCTATTTGCCCATATCATCTCACTTGAACATAAATGAGTGTGTTTACATTTTCAATATTGGTGTTATATTTCTTCATTTTGCATAATGTTGAAGAGGAACATAAAAGAAATTCTGGTCTCATTTTAAACAGCAGAGCATTCAATATTTTACTATTAGGTAGTCTAACAATAAACATCACCTTTACATGTTTTGTAGATAGTCTTTTGAGATTAAGAAATTTCCATTATACTTCTAGCTTACTGAA